TGCTTTAGGGAAATCCGACCCGGATATTGATAGTGAAATGCCTCCCATACCACAAACATATCTTTATGGAGGAAGTTCTCAGGTCATTCTTAGGTGTTAGGTACTCATCCACACCCTAAATCGCCAACATCCACTCAAGGGTACAATCTGAAACCTTGATCCGTTGTGCCCACCTAACACGAGTCCTTGGGAGCCTCGCAATCAATAGTCAATCAATTGTAAATATTTGTTTACTTGTTTATTGAAAATGCATCAAATAGGTTTTCCGATCAAGGAAAATGGGAAATTAGACCAGGAAGTTCTTGGTGACAACTGTCTAACTTAGGTAAAGTGGACCAAAGTAAATAGCAGATAGGAGCCCTTCCTTTCAAGACCTCCCTGCGAAGACGATCACCCATTTGATCTGCTCTGATCCCCAATCAAATCAGGAGGCCCCTCTAGAGTGGTTTTTCTCCGATTCTCCGTACCCACTTACTTCGTGCTGTCTTACTCATCCGTTTACTTATGACTACTTTATTATTGTGTAGTTGATTTACAACCGTAATGATGTCCATTGAATTACCCAGGAAAGTTTGTTTACCATGTTGTAGAAGTGATTCGGGCCCCCTTGTATATGTCGCTCTTGATTCGCCGTTAATCTGGGAGCCCGCCGTTAAGTAGACGTTTTGACTGACCTCGAACGCCTTCGGTAACGAATGCCCATGGCAAAGATACCATCTTTGTTGTGCAAAAAACTATTCCTCGCTGGGGTGTGAACCCGGTAAAGGTGAAAGTTCTTGGGTGAGATCTTCATCTGTGAAAAAAGAGACAAATCAATTTTTGCCTGGATTTTCGATACAAACTTTTGATAGTAAATAATTTGGCAAAATTGGTTAAACAGAGAAATTGGATTATGATCCCGCTTAGAGAACATGTTTAGAAAGTGTTGTTTATTTTTGTTTATTTCTGTTTTTCGATATAGACAAATTCAAAAATTTTTCCCAAGTTTTTGAAATTCTCAGAAATCTTTTCCAATTTTCCTTCACTCTTAATAATACCCTCAGTTCGACAATATTTATCGATCGCTATCGATTATTCAATCCATTTTTGTAAGACTGGTTATGGCGCTTTTACTTTGGAAAATTAAAACTCATTAAAATGGCTTTTAATAAAGAAAACAAATAATCGGCAATCAGAAAATGGGAAAATTCCAATAAAATTTATTTCTTCGAGAGTTCAAGAAATCCTTTCTGCCTTTTTTAACTGCTCAGAGTATCCGGAACCTTTTTATTCGATTGGTTTTGCTTTTGGTTGAAAACGACCATCTTTTTATCACTTGCTCTGAAAGCTGATACTAGATATAAAGCTACTATATAAGCAAGTAAATTCTCTCAAAATCTTCTTCAAAATCGTTATATAATCGTTTCCTTCTTTTGTGGAAGTACTGATTTGTCAAACAGGGCTTTTTTCTTGCCGTATAGTGCTGTGGTTCCCCTTACTCTTTGACTTCTGAGTGTTCTGAGATAAAATGTTTATCGAAAACAGTGACCTACTGTTTATTTTTGGGTTTTTTTCAAGTCCTTAGCACATTGAAACCCAGGGATTCAAGAAGCAGAAGTCCTTCAAATGGAGATAATCCGAAACCCGAATAAATTCTGCTTCTCTAATGGGATGTCTGTAATTTTTGTCTGATGCCGTAGCACCTTTATATTGATCTATATCATTATTTTGCTATCTATTATTATTTATTAGTTGCAAACAGTAAACAAGAAATTCGTAACGTAAACGATGTTCAAATTCTCAACGACTGTAGAAAATGCTATGATTTTATTGAAAATGCTGAATAAACCATGAAATTCTTGAGAATCCTGGTAAGCTTGCTAACAATCGCTTGAGGCTCAATCCTGATAGCTTCTGGTCTGACCCTAGCTGCAAGGTTCAGCTTCTTCTTTTTTTTGAAAAAAATTGACGTAAAGAATCATGGCGAAGCGATCGTTCATCAAGATGGATTAGCTGGTACAGGGAAGGGAGTAGTCCACAATGAGTGAACTTGCGAATTCTTATCTACTCCGCTCGCAGCGACCTTCATTAGTCTTCATCAGGTCGTCCGTGTAACAGCCATGTTCACACTGCCAAAGTAAATTCAACTCATTTGAACTCATCCATTCGATTTTGGTTCGGCCAATGTTCCTCCAGCTGACGAATCCATCTTTTTCGTGACCTCTCTAAATAAAATCACTTCTCTTACTTACTATGGTAAGATGGTTCGGACCATACCTGGCTAGAGCCTATTTGGAATATGCCCATGCTCACTACTTGTCCAAGTACTGAGTTCCTCAAAATGTTTACAGTTGTTGTTTGTTGTCGCTTGGTAAATCCTTCTTTCTGAAAACCCTCCAAACGTTTGGACCCCCTGGGTTTGCAAACTGATCTTATAAGTGTAAATAAGGATCGGAAAGCCGAGGGGTTCTCTTTGGCAATAAAAAAAANNNAAAAAAAATAAATAAATAAGCAGGTAAATATATACGTGAACTAATGACTCAAAAGGATTTGTTCAACCCACACTGTTGCCCAAATATCTGAGGGCAAACTTAAGTTCCACCCGGGGGGCCCTTTGGAAAAGCCTGTGAAGTGTGAGCTTTATGGTTAATTCAGAAGATTGCTTTTGGCATTACTCCATCACCTCAACCTGAATGACTGCCATTATCGTATCCCCATCGGATAGCAGGGTTGTGCCATTGGGAGCTGGTCCCAAAGGCAATCTCCACCCATGTCCCAGGTCGCGTAGCACGGGAAGGGGGGCGGAGGCCGAGCATCAGGCACTAGGGCGGACCACCTCCCTCTTGGTTCGTTCAGGTGTACTAGCCACCAGCTAAGCAACCTATTGCGCCATCTGCAGCCACCCCGCATATTCTGAGGTCATCAAGACATTTGATGTTGACTGGCTTTACAAGTATCTAGGTAGATACCGGTACTACTGATAAAAAGGATTTATTCAGTCATGATGTGTCCACCTCCAGGTGTGCTTCAGATTCCTTTTCCTTCGTCTTTCTTCATCCTCTTTACTCGATATCCTCATTCCATGCCTCTTCCCTTTCAGATATGCCGTCTTCTATACGGGAGACAGATGAGAGCTCCCGTGATTCGGGTTTCGGTGAGATGGACTGTGATAGTATGCCCGTGGATTTCGCCCATCCATCTTTTCTGAAGAAATCATCGTCATTCCATGTAAGTTACCTACACCTATACCATCGAGTTTTGTTTTCCACTTGTGCCCAAGCCCCATTTATTGTTTACCTTGGACACCGCCAAGATACCACATGCGGTAAGGGGCCGCACATAATTACTTCTTGAAGGATGCATTAGGTCATTCCAAGTGTGAGCACCAGGACACCAGATGAGTTGGGGTCAACAAATATGGGGAATAAAAAAACAATTTTTATTTTTTTACAGTTTAAAAATTTGGACATGGAGATGGACGATCTAGTCATTGAAGAATCACTTGCGATTCAAACGACAAACATGATTTGCTCAAAAAAAGAAGAGCTTGAAGTTAAAACAGTACTTAGCAATATGAGATCACAACGTAAAGGACTTGCCGATGTCACAAACAGGTATGGCATTTAGGCCTTTAGGCCCTATCGACTTTACCGGAGTAACGGCGGAGGAAGCTAAGAGTCTGAATTTCAGAGTTTCCCAAGCAGAATCACCAAAATCGAGGAAATCGATTTTTGCCAAACCACATTGTCGGGCCATAAGTATGCACCAGCATAACCGTAAAAGGGCTTTAAAAGCCAGTTTCCTTCAGTATAAACGGAATCGAGTTGATGAGACGATTGAGGAGGTTGAGGTACGGCTCGAATACCCTGGAAGTTGAAAATCCTCTAAAAACCTCTGAATTTCCAGAATGTCCCGAGTTGTTCTACGGCAGCACCACGTCCAGCACGAAGTTCGATGATGTTACGAGTTCAATCATCGTCTGTACTCGAAGTCGGACATCATCTACCACAATTTCTTGAAGTGGTTCGTCTATAGGTTCGCTTGAAGCCTCAGAATAAGACAATAGGTTCGGTTTTGCTTCAGAAATACCATCTGGAAACGGTCACAACGAATGATTCGCAAGCGTTCCGTCGAATCGATGCTCAAACGCTTTCACGTTTGATGAAATCGATGACTAGTGAGGAATTCGCTGAAAAATATGTGTTGATCGATTGCCGTTATCCATATGAATTCAATGGGGGCCATATAAAGGTGAGGTTGAAGCCCTGGTGTCTTCTGAGGAGGATAGGCTCTTTAATCGAAACCATCCAGGGTGCCATCAACGTCTTCGATACGACTAAGTGCGAAGAGGTGTTCTATCCGTCTAATTCACTCCATCGTGCTGAAATTCACAGTCGGATACCGATCTTCTACTGTGAATACAGTCAAAAACGAGGACCTTCTATGTGAGTATTTAATCGATTACCTTCATCGATTGCTACCGTAACCCTGACGTCGATATTTAGGGCTCAAACACTGCGAAGTGTGGATCGACAACGTAATGTGGATGTTTATCCGAAAGTGGATTTTCCCGAGATTTATGTAGTCGATAAAGGCTACCGCAACTTTTTCAATATGTTCGCCGATTCAACGGACAAGGTTGGCAAATGCCTTCCATTTTCGGTTCGTTCAAAGCGATTTTATGAGCACATAAAATGTTGTTGCAAACTACTATGTGGGGGTACTCGTAGCCGTAACGTGGCGACCTTGGGAACCCGCATTGGGTCGACCGAGGGGTCAGCTCACGTTACGTCCTCGGTACGCTGTCTTCTGAATTCATACTCGATTTACAGAATCTATGCGAACCATGTAGTTATGTCGAGATGGTTGATTGCCGTTTTGCTCATCATCTAAAGCAATATAATTTCCATAAGAAGAGCTGGGGCAATACGACTTGCTCGAAGAACGTACCGTAAGTTACTTGCGAATATTGATTGATTACTGATCAATATCTGTTCGTAGTAGTGGGCTGTCAAAAGTAGTTTGGGAACGATAACTGTTTTAACGTTTGTGATTTTAATTTCGAATCCTGGAAGTCTACCTTCGGGTGCTTGAGTCCTCCAGAGAGGAAAATGAGTTATTGTGAAGAGAAAATCTCATCTATATATATTTACTCACCTATGCATCTACTTACAGCTTATCTATTTGTTTATCTATATACTTGTTTATATATTCAATAATATATTTGTTTATTTATCTATTGTCCTGTTTATTTGTTCACTTGCGTACTTATTTTGTCTAACCATCTATGTATTTGTCTATTTATTTATTTGTTTATTCGGTTATCCATTTATATTTTTGTGTATTTATAGATTTATTTGGTTGTTTATTTCTTTGCTGTGCCTTCAAAATGCATCATTGGGAATCACGCCATATCAACTTTAATGTAGGACAGCTAAATGCTAGTAAGGTTAGGAGCAAAGAAAGCTCAAGTGCCACCCTTTTTTGGATAGGCCATGCATCCCATTTTCATTCAGACTGGCGCAAAATAATTGACTTATGCAGTGCCACTAAGTGTAAAAACCACAGCATTGCTTTACTCAGACCCACAAAATTTGTCTTACTAAGCCTAGCGGGTAGGATTTGATCTGGGACCCGATCCCGCAGCCAAGTGTTTAGTGGCAGGCAACTTGCCACTGCTCCAACGATGCATCTTCTCACATCATAAATTCGAATTACAGAAACCGTCGTTATAATTTGCAACCTAAAAGCCCTATTTTTCAGTCCAA